AAGTGATCGCGGCGGAAGGGGAGATGCTGGCTTCCCGTGCCTTGAAAGAGGCCAGTGATGTCATTTCCACGAGTCCAGCCGCTCTTCAGGTACGTTCCACCTCCTGCCTCCTCGAGAAACGTCAAAGATATCTTTGTAATTCCACTCTCTCTCTCTCTTTCTCTCTCTCTTTCTCTAATTATCCTCGTCCCGTTTAATTCGAGAAAACGAATTACTTCTCTTGCACCCAACCAATCCCCAAACGTATCCCCCTCCTTCGATTATTCCATACGAACGAATATCGATCTCTCTACATATATATATGTGTGTGTGTATGTATGTTGTGTATGTATTCCATGCACAGCTAAGGTATCTGCAAACGCTGAGCAACATATCCGCGGAGAAAAACTCGACCATCATCTTTCCGTTGCCGGTCGAATTCTTGACACCGTTCTTCAACCGTGGCTCGTCGAGTCAGATCGAGGGCCAGGGGAATGGAATTGGAACGGAATCAGGGGAGCAGGGATGCGCGGGCCGACTCACGACTCGGCCTCACGTTCACTCGAATGGAAACATGCCGGCTAAGTGAAGATAGGTAGGTAACGTTTCGAGTTTGATCGTCTCTAGGCCGGAATTCTCGCGTGATCTTTGATACACGCTCGACTGGAAACCTGTTTGTACGCGTTTGCTCAAAGCGTCTCTTCGTCTCTCGAGCAGACGTCATTCCTGATCAACGAGTCGCTTGTTAAATAAACCGATGTAATTTCCAAGGATTTACAAGGATTTCGATCTATCGAGAATTCAGTGGACTCGATCGTCGCGGAACACGAGTATATATTGCCGTTCTGAAAGTAATTTCGCTTTTTCACATGAGCGGCGCTAGTCGTACGTTTATCCACAGCCAACTTCGTTCTAAACCGTGTTGTTATGTATATTTTGAAAGTTAGCATTTCACGATTTATTTGTAAGAAAAATTTGTTTAATTCTGTTGTGCGGTTGTGTTTTTCGTGCGTGATATCAAAAAGAACATTTTCGGTTCGATTATATCGATTATATTTTACCGAAAAGGTTAAAAATGCCGTTCAGGCAAGAAAAAGGTTACGTGAAGTGAATGGAAGCGAATGAAGTGCATGGAAAAGGTTATATCAAGTACGCTAGTGACAAAACTGATTTTCAAAATTTCATTCTGATGATTTCGACGTTAAAGATGCGTCATATTCTGGATTCGCACCGGTCGAAGTTGATGAAAACAAAATAAAGACATCGTTCGAAGCAAACCGACGAATAACAACTCGAAGAAATTGCTACGAGATCGAACTCGACTGTTTGTGATCGTGTGAAACGAACTTGGTGTTTCATTGTCGTGAAAAAAAACGAAATTACTTTCCGAACAACCCAATAAATAAGGATTGATTCGAAAGGCTAGAAGGATTAAACGAGTCGTCGGGAGAGGAGTTTCTCGTCGTCACGTTCCAGGCGTTGGAGCGTGGCGCGAAAGCACGTGCTCACCTCCCTCCTTTCTCCGCCCCTGTCGTCGTCGTTTCCTCGCTTGGAGGAAGCTCGGGCTAAAGTAGAGCTGCGTACATGGCGGCCGCGTCTACCTCCTCTTTATGGAACGATGTAAAACGGAAATTGCGCAAGCCCCCGCATTGAAATTTACGTATCGAATGATAACGAACTTCCTCGAACAGCCGCATGAACCTCGAGCGTTTCTAAAGCGGAACATAGGAGAGAGAAAATAAGAGAGAGAGAGAGAGAGAGAGAGAGAG